TTCTCTCTTCGCTAAAGATAAGCATGCGACCAATTTTTTATACGACTAATTTTCGTAGCGACTAATTGTCGTTGCGACCAATTGACTACATGTAATTGTCGTTCGACCAATTTACGTTCGACCAATTGTCGCTTTCCCTTAAAATACAGATTGGTATTGATATTGATTTAAACCTACAACAGAAATGAAAAATAAGCTTAAATAAAATTGGACTCACTTTTTAAAGTTGATATTGGTATGAATGTTGATGTCGTTGTGGACAGTCTTGCAGATATCGATCTGGGTCTGAATGGTTAGTTCTCCTTTCTTCTAAAAATCGGGTTCGCGCTCACCCGTACTGTTTTGATGTGATTGAAGTAGAGGAATTCAAGGTGTTACTTTGCGACGAAAGTGGAATTGATCTTCTGAATCTGTAACAAAAAAAAGATATTACTTCATTCACTTAAGTGTACTTGTTAAGTTGATTTTGGTATCCGTATTAATTGTTCACATTGATAATAATGGTGACTTAAATCTAGAAGGAAAAACAATAATTTCTAGAATTCAACAGAAATTTATTCTTCACTTTGATGCCCATATTGTTTTTGATGTTCGTTTGAATGTCTAAAAGACAGAAGAAATTTTGGTTGATGGAATTCGGCTTACTTCCATCGTTGCTGCTGGTATTTGTATTGCTATGAATCTAGAATGAAAAAGAAGAGGTATTAGGTTATATAAATGAGCTCACCTGTGTAAAGTATATCAGGATCCATCGGGATATCTCTTTAGAGATGAATGTTGAAATTATCCTATCAAAGAGGAAAAGGTAATAATTCACGTAATTCAACGGAGCTTCAGAGTATATATTGACACCTCTCGTGATATGCATCTTCATGTTTATCTTTTTTGGAGCCTATTACAGAGTAGAATATATATTAGGTTCGATAGTGGAACTTCCTCTCACAGTACAAGCTAAGCTACATGTTGAGCTTTATGATGGTACTTATAATAGTATCCATATTTATATTCATAATGGTTGAATCTGTAAGAAAAGCGGGCGTATATTAGTTGAGACAAATGGAGTTTCTATTTTATTAAATCTTGACATTCATCCTGATAAGCATCTATATATCTATATCGATATGGATATTGGTTTGAATGTACAAAAAAAAGAGAAGAATTGTTAGTTTTTACAGTTTAAGTCACTTTGAGGATTCATATTGAAGTTTATATTTAAGTCCATACGGATGCCAATGCTGATATTTATATTCATTTGACTTTAAAAGAAAAAGTAGAAAAATCAGTGAATAGAATTCGACTTGTTTCAGACGCCATAATGATACCCCTTCAGATATCCATATTTATGTCGATATTGATTTGAATCTATAAGAAGAAAAAATCTTAGTTTATAAAATGCAACTCACTTCCTGCATCCACATTAACATTCATCTTGATACTCAGTTTGATTTGCATGTTGATATCTATGTTGATCGGTATCTAGAAGAGAAAAAAATAAATGCTATTAGTAGTCTCTAAAATTGAAATTAAACGTGAAATATATACTGAGATTGTCTTTGTTATTCATATTAACATCCATTTTGATTTGAAATTCAAAAGAAGGCGAAGAATGCTAGTTTATGTAATTCAACGTACTTGCATAATACGTACGGATGTTTATTCTAAAGTCGACTTTGAAATGAAGTGACACTTCAAAAAATAGAAATTGTTTAATAAGGATTGACTTACGGACCAGTTGAGTTTTTGAGTGTATACGTTCATGTAGTTATTAGTGCACTGAAAGTGATATAAGTAGAATAGACTCAATTTTTTCTGTCAATGTAATAAGCCTAATTGAAAGTTAGGTTTTGACTGTATTTAGCTGTTATACTTTAAGTTTTTGTTTTTGCGAAGAATAGTTATGAAAATACTTATTGTAGGATAAAAAGTTTTCTTCTTTTTCTAAAAACGTGTAAGTTCATGAACAATAAGTAAATAAAGAATCATAAAAATGTCCAAAAAAGAACTGTAGAAAAAGAAGAAGAGCAAAACATAAAGTCAATTATCAAAACAGGTCAATATAGACGAATACGCTTAGATTGAATGCGTGTAGACGATTTCAAAGCTGAGACAGATGAAGATGAACGTTTAGTTATTTTACGTTTTCTGGTAGCAGTTGAATAAGATTTATCATGTTTTTCAGCATGACCGGTTTCATTTTCGCAATCTGGAGTTAAAATTAATGTCTGAGGTGCAGTAGTCTGGTGAGTTTCTTTCGAGTTTAAATTGAAGGAAGAATCTTGAACTTTAAATGGAGCAGCTGATGCACTCTGAATCATCATTGGTAAATTTGATTGAGAAGCAAGAACAGGACGAGTAGTAGTTGAAGATTGATGAAAATCATCTCCATCGGCAACTGATGATTGATCAGGTTTATCTTCTTCTTCGAGTTCATTAATATTTTCTTCATCAATATTTGTTGAAGTGGTCACATAGAGATGAGATGAACTATATTGATTAGGATCAAATTGTTCAGGTAATACATCTGCAATCTAAAACAGTATCAAAAAAACCTTGCATATACTGAATAACAAAAAGACAAAAATATGGAAAATTAGATTATGCGTTTGAAAAGAAATGTCTAAACTAAATGCTAGATTCTTCTATTCTGTATTGATTGGTGGCTGAAAATCATTTCATCGATTTTTTAAAGAGCAATATGATATTCCCTGTAATTTCTGAAGAAGAAAAAATATTGAAAAGATAATTTCTAAGTGCCTTATACATTTTCTTCGATTTTTATGGATTCATGTAATTGAAGAATATGTATAATAATTTTTATCAATAAGAAGATTTATAATATTAAACTTTTAGTAGATAATCAGAAGCAAAGATATATGCATATGATGTTAATTTTTTAGTGGAAGATACTTCTTTATCAACTAAAAAATACTAACTTTGATTTATATCTACATATTTAATACGACATTATGCTACAACTATTTTTTCGACTTACTGAGACGAAATGTATTTTTTCTATCAAGTTAAACTAAGAAACTTACTTCATTATAAATATTGGATGGCGATGAAGTATGTTCATTCATGGTCGAAGGCTGAGTTAAACTGTCTACCAGATTCGTAACTGCTGCTTGTCGTCTCAAAAGTGGTCGATTAACAATTTTGTATTTCCAACTGTTGATCAAGTTTTTAAGCGCTTTATTGAGATAATGTGAATCTTCAAATAAAACTCCATAAAGAAGACGACAACATCGGTTGTGATGACCGAATTGAATTTCAAAAACATAATATAATGATAAAAGGAGTGCGAGAGCTATTGAACAAGACTTTGTTTCTGTTACTAAGTGAAAATCAAGGTAAAGCTCGAATTTATCATCGAGAATTTTCATACATGGGTAAGGTGAGAGTACTTCCTATATATAGAGTTAAAAAAATGTTTCTTTTTATAATCGAAAGTTTAATTGACAGTTTACCTCATATGTAAAAACATTACCAACTGAATCACCAAATAGTTTACACAGAGTACGAACAATTCGAATAGGTAAAACATCTAGATGGAAAAATATTTAAATTGCAATGTTGAATAAAAAAACATTTCTTTTCTTGAAGAAAAAGCACATCAGAGAGAATCACTCGAGTTCATCTAGAGATTAAAATATGTTTTTATTGGAGCGATGGTTACCATCATGAAAACCCAAAATGATTATTTCAGGTTTCGTATAAGAAATTATTCGACAAAAATTGTCAATTTTATACTTCGAAATATGTAGAAATATAAGTTCATGGTAACTCATAATTATTCTGTCTTTTTTTAATTACTATAGATTTTTTCAAAACTTTACCTGATAAAAAGCAATTATTATTTGGTACATGGTCGAAAAACGTTGGCAATAAAACATTGACATTTTCTTCGATATCGATACCAGTAGATCTTTTTACTTCAGCCAAGATCTAAAACAGTTTAGTAGAATTTGATTTAAAACTTAAATGATCTATGAACACTAGGGAAAAATTTGTTAGATACGTTAGTGTAACGTGTAATATTTACTGCCTTTTTATAAAACAGATTCATATATTAAAGTTAGTCCTTTGTATTAAAAGTATAACGTTTATAAATTTAAATCATAGCGTCAATGTATAGAAAAATATGTAAAAGTGAAATTTTTTGCAAAAAAATTATAGAAAACAACTAGCTTTAAATAGTAAACATAATGAGTACAGTATTCCATTAAAGTAGAACTTCATCAGATTTCACGAGATATTTATAATGAAAAAGTCTTGGTCATTGAAATAAACTTTTAAAGTGAACTCAAAATCAATAGTTTTACTATAATATATCTTGGGTAAGATACTCTTCAAGAAAAATATAGGCGTGACTTCTTAGAAATGTACGACGAAGACGAATAAATTTCTAAACTAAAATATCAGCTGCCTTTTGAGACAAACTAATTCTCTATATATCAAATTTTTCCCTATATATCAAATTTTAGAAAAAAAACAACCTTTATCAAAGAACAGTCGATAATGCTTATCAATTCTGAATGGCGATAACCTGGAAAACGTTCAAGTATTTCATCTATTTCTAATTCACGAATACATAGACGACGAATATTAAATGATTGTTTCCAAAGATCATGAAGCAGATCATTGTTAGAATCATCTTTAAGTAATTCCATTTTCATCTGATTGACTATGACCAATAAATTTTCATTTTGTCGATCAGCTAAATTAATCAATGGCTACAAGAAAATGGTATGATGTATCAGTCAAAATCATATGAAAACTTACTATATCAATAATACGACGTTCTGCTTGTAAAAATGTACTTTTTCTTTTCGGTCTTCCATTCGTTTTACCATTACCATATCTATCTTGTTTACTTCTTACAAGATTATTACTAATTTGTAAAGGTCTACGTTCACGCTTAAATTTTTGCTTTATCGACTCGTGCCAGTCTTTCTAAAATAAAAGCAAATATTCAATGAATTTATTAGGTTTTTTTTCTTACGACTGAATCATGGAATAGTGATGGAGGAATACGAAGTTTCTTTACCAAACATTTAGCCATTGTCAGATATTCATCATTAGTCGGATAACTAAATGGAAAGAGACAAAAATATGGAAATTAGTTTTTATAAATAATACCTTACAGTAGTTGGTGAGATTTTGTTACATCATCAAAAAGTAATGATAATAATTCACTTCGCATCTTTGTGTGCGGATTAAACTTTGAGATATTATTCTGTTCAATATACTCATTCATTTTGATAGTCAAATTTGGTCCTTTATAATCTTCTGGTAATGCAGCGTTACTATGAATATCTGTATCATCATTAAGAGGAAAATGTGATGAAGAATCAGGATCTGTTGTTGAAGCACGATTATTAGTTCCTATATTTTCATTTGCATCTAACGAATTTGGCGAATCATTATTTTCTGATTGATCATAAGATTGAACTAATCGTGATGCTGAATCAGATGCATCAACAGTAGTTGCATCTTTATTTACTTGTTGTTCATTAAAGTCTAAAATTAATTTTGTACGTTGATCAACAAATTTTACACGATCTTTTATTCGAGGAAATATTTGAATCAGATCATTTTGTTGAAGTAAAGCTACTGTTGTACCATCAATATCTTCGTCTAAAACAGAAAAAACAGTTGTTTTAGTTTAGCTTAAAAAAACTAGCTTCATGACAACAAAAGAAATCACTAGATGACAATCTAATCAAACAATTTTTTTTCTTTCCTCTTGGTGAATATCAAAAAGGAAAAACTTTTTTAATGTTCAGTTACACGAGTTAATATATTGATATAATTTGTTTGTTCAACAACATACATATCGAGACAATGAGGATATATATTAAAACAATGTTCTATGTCAATTATAATCAATTTTCCTGTATATTCAACTTCATAAGACCATAGTTTCTCATTGAAGGAAACTGTATCTAATGTTTTGGCAATAATAAACCATTTTCCGACGACGTTTAATATATAATAAACTTCACAAAATACAGGAACTTCTTCAGCATGTATTAGGTGATGAATCATTATAGATTTTGGTCTAATATTAATATGATGATAATCAATTGACTTGCATTCACATATTAAATCTGTTTCTTTAACATTATCGATCAATAAACGTCGAACAGGAAGAGAAAGCTGAAAGTATTCGATTGATTTAGACGATCGAATTGTTATCGATGAGAAATAAAAATATGAAGGTGACGTGTTCAACATACAATGACGCAACTGATGACGTTTTGAAAGAGTAAGTAAAGGATTTTTAAAGTTAAAAGCCCGAATAGCAAGTTGCTTAAAATATAGATGTTTAGATTCAAAACGGATGCAGGAATTCAATATAGGAAGTCCATGCATTTCAATAGAACGAGGATATTCAGTGACGAAATGAACTTTTGGAGTTACATGGTCAGGTAAAAGCTCGATCATTAGAGAATAAAATTGTTTACATAATCCATCTAAATACGGTAACCATGATTTTCTGATCGGATTGGCATAGATGTAACTGATAATCTCACGTAATATGATGTAAATAGGAAATAGAGTAAGATCATCTATAAAATCATGGAATATCATTGGAAATAACTGAAACAAACATAATTTGTGACTCGCGGAACCAACAATATTCGAGTGTGTTAGATGTTGCTTTCTAATAGGAGGGGGTTTATTAGACGAATCATAAAATCCATAAACAAAACGTGATGTGAATTGTTCAATTTCTGCATAGGTCAGAAGACGACGTTGAATGGCTTCTTTCAATAAGACACTAATAACAAGTGGGCATACACCTCAATAATAAAACAAGAAACATTAAATTTTCTTATTTAAGCCGTATGATAATAAAAATTAATAGAAAATATGCGATCCAGATATAATCTCGATACCGACTTCAAGTCATTTAAATGGCTTATATTCTGTTTCTTGTTGTTTTTACAGAGAAAGTTCGTCTTTTTCATAGGAAATTTCCTACTTTTTCATAAAGTACTACCTTCAGCAAAATCATGCATTACGTCAGGTGGTAGTGATTCTGTTGGATGAAAACCGATAAGATCTTTAAACCAACTAGGACTTTTAACGCCTTGAATAATTTGCCGACCGTTCTTAAGTACAACTTGATTAAGAATCATATCGTGCTTTAAACGAGTGCGAGGTACGAAGGATATATCAGTTAATGGAATATGTATCTGTGCATAAGTGATAAAACAAAGTCTTTCTAATACACTTCAAAATGGTGAACTTTTACAGGCTATTGTC